ATCGACCAGACTACACAGCGCAACAACCCAGAAAACAGAAATCTTCATCGCAGTGATGATGGAGGCAGTATGACCTCTGAAACGTTGGTTAACATCGACCAGACTACACAGCGCAACAACCCAGAAGACAGAAATCTTCATCGCCCTGATGATGGAGGCAGTATGACCTCAGAAACGTTGCTTAACATCGACCAGACAACCCAGAAGACAGAAATCTTCAGGTCCATTACTGTTTTCACAGAATCCACCACCGGTATAAATTCTAAGCCAGATTAAACCACTCCACACCCTGTTATCTTATTTCCACAAGACTCTGATTAATATCGAGATTTCCGCTCTCTGGTGTGCTGTATCGTGTAGTCTTGTAGGAGTTTACTGACCATATTGTTTTGGTTGTTAATTTACTGATATGTCAATGTTTTACATATTTTATATGATGAAAATACCAACATAGCAGAAACATTCATGCAAAGTTTAATAGTTTATGTAATTGCATAAAATTCAAAGTTGAAATTAAAATCAGTGACAAGTTAAATTATTGCATTGTTACAGTAAACAGATTTCAAATATACTGACAAAAAATTACAGATATTACCATTAATGATGATTTTATTGCATATAGATGTGTGACTTGTTGTTTGAATACAATTCAGATAAAAATGTGTTGTTAATCTGTTCACGTTGCTTAAAACAATAAATTATTTTTTCTTGTTTGTATTTTGTTAAATATTCACCAAATCAAAAATTTATCTGAATCTCTTCCATTTTCTCTGTTACAAACGAAGTTTTTGTTCAAGTGAGATATTTCTAAATAAATCCATGAAGTTTAGTTTGAAGTAGGATTTATACATGACCGATATGAACCAAACTACATTCAGTCATTAATTTTTAGTATAGATCCTGCAGTAACAGATGTTATTAAAATCTGTTCTTACATTTGGAAATTATGTTATTAAGTGAGGACTGTATTGTTATTTGAGGGACATTGAACAACAATGACATAATTCTGTCTAAATGAACAAACATTGAAAGTACCTGCTAATGACTGTAAGTTGAAATATTTATTGGAGGTAAATACTTTATTTTAAAGGTGTTAAATTAAAATAATGATGTGTGATGATTCATTTTGTGATAATGCTACATTACAGGGTTTTTTCACAAAGCCACTTGGTCTCGCAGTACCGCCTTCTGCAGTAAGAGTACAGGAAACAATGGCCGCAGTGGATCAATCAGACATTGCTGTGGAACATGTTGCCATGGTGACATCAGATTCTGGGTTCATGCATGATAGAGATCATGAGCATATTAGGGAACAGTACCCAAGGTGAGTTGGCCAGTCACATTTAACACATAACCAGAAAAGGAAAGGGCAATTGACACTTTACGTTGCAGTTTATATTCCACAGAAATATATGTTTTGATTGGAATAAACCAGGCTTTAATTTGTAATTTTAATAGAGCTCATTAACTGTGATTCCTAGACAGTATTAACTGAGGAATTCTAGTGGTTTCTGCAGTTTTAATTAAAATTATAAGTTTAGAGTTTGTTTATGACAGCAAGCAATCATATATCATCCTCAGAATGCTCACTGCTGCTGCCTGAGATAGACGTGTTTAAGAATCATCACTAAGAATTCCCTATTCAAAAGTTTTGTTTATTAATTATTGATAGAGCAACTTCATTTGTTACGCTAGAGCTGTCTTCAGTCTTGTATGAAACAAAAGAGAAAACTCTGAAGCATGTTATCTGACTTTATTAATTATTTTAGAAACTCTCAAGGTCAGAGCATTTCTATACAACAAATAATGTACACATTTGTTTTTTTTTTTTTGATATTAGGCCAGTAAAATGAGAAATTACACTGAACTACCTTATTGGGCTATAATTCTAATTTAATTTAGGTAGAAAGGAACCTATACTTTGTGTTCCACTGAGTATTAGAACATTTCAAATATTCTGTTTCTTATCACAATAAAATCTCTTATTGCACCAAATTGAACATTGACATTTAACCACTTTATTTAAAAGACCATCAAGTTGGCAGAGAACACCGCTGGAATCGAGTAGTTCAGGGCCTGAAGTTGGTTGTTCGCGCATCTGGAGTCGAGTCTTGGACCGAGTGTTCGACAACTCAGATAGGCGACAGTATGGCATGGGAGTTGTGGGGCGCTTATTTGGGTAAGTTCAAAATGTGATGAGTCTGGTGATAAGATTACTGTAATTATTTTGATAATAAATTTAATAACTTTGTGAATAAGAATCAACATGCACTGCCCTGATATTTCTTTTAAAGATACTGATATAAATATAAGTTGTGTAGCCTAATGTCAAGGGTGGCTGTGAGCCCCTACTTATAATATAACGTAGAGAGTATGCCCCAATAGAAACTTAGGAAAAATATGTAGGAAAGAAGTCACAACATATAGAACTTCTTCTTCTATGGCTCTCCGGTCTGTATTCGGTCCATGGCCTCCTCAATTCTCCTCTTCCATTCGGTCCTCTGTTAGGTCCGTCTGTCCGAAGCTTTGATCGAGGTTTCGAAACATCTTCCTCTTTACGGTGCAAGGTTGTTAGCTTTGCGACCAACCCCCAACCTGAAGGACCAGGGTACCTGTGTTAGTCTGACCTCTTCCCATCGACCAATCTGGCAAGGGAGGCCCTACCAGTAGCTTTGCTACCACCAGCATAGCTCTTGGGGTCACTGAGGTACTCAAGCCCCACCACCACGACAAGGTGCAGGTACCATTAAGTGGGGGCATATAGAATTGCTTGCTGTAATATTAAAATTGTCTAATTTCTGCAATTTGCTTGCTTGCTTATTTGTTTCTTTCTTTATGGGTTGTTTATCATTTAATTCTGTATACAGCAGCAATGAGAATGGCCAATATTATGATTCATGCACTTTTTTAAAATTCAACCTGAATTTGCATTCCAGGCAGCTCCAGAGCTTTTCATTTTAAAACTACTCTCCTGTGTACACAGCCATAAGATTTGCTATTCATCTCCTCCAAAAAAAGTCAATTTTTATCCATGATGACCTCTATGTATTTGAAATGTTCACATCATCATCATAATAGTTGTATGAAATAGCATTCAGATTCTGATTTGATTAATATGTGAGACAAAATGATGAGCTTCAGAAGTCAGGTTTGTTCTGATAACTATAAGTTAGATTGATATTCATAGCCATAGTCGTGGACAGTAATGTTCTCAGTACTGGACAAAATGGTATTTATGACTGGAACATGATATATAATTAAATAAGAATGATAGAAATACATTCCAGACACAGGCGTAAGAAATAATGGAGACAGAATGTTTCATTGGATCTGTGAACTTTTCAATATGAACACCATTTCTTGAATTATCTTCAATGAGCATGCTCCTGGTAAGTTGTCGTACATTTATAAAATGTCCAATGTGTATATTTTTAAATTAAATTTATTTTATCTTATGAAATATGACGTAAAAGATGAGAGAATCGGAATGGTGAAGTAGAACAAAGTAAGATTCACTTTTTGTACAAGGAGCACTATTCCTTAATCTTATTTCTCATGATAAAATGAACAGTCTTTCTGTTTTACTTGTAAAATGGAACAGTGTGGATTAAGATTGTAAGTATAACCAAGGGAAATAAGTCAGAAATTAATATTAATAGGTTGTGTAATTAAAAGTTACTTGTATTTACATGTGACAATAAATATCTAAGTAGAGATTATTAATCAGAATAGAAGTTGTGACATATATTGGATATGAGCCAAAGCAAGAAATTTTGACAGAAGATGTGACTTTTAATTAGAGTTAATTGTTAGTGAAGGCTTCTCATATCTTTGATTTGTCAAGAAGAGTGGTGTGTAAGGATGTAAAAAAATATATATAGTTACACTTCACAGCAGTGAGGATCTTGGACTGTCTGATATCACATTTACAGCAGTTTGGTACAGATACGTTACAGTTCTGATCTTGGAGAAGAATGATAGAAATTCATTGTGTATGTGACACTGTATAGTGAAATTTCAACAGTACTAGGTCTACATAAAATGAGTGTTAAGTGCTTCTTCCATAGACCTTCCTTTTTCCTCTGAGAGCAATAATGTTACATATAACTTCTATAATTTCTTCCAGACGTTCCATAAAGCGTTCTGTGACAGACAGGAAAGCTGTGAAGGAGCAGCTGGACGATATTGAGGACCACCGCCCATTCTTCACATATTGGATTACGACAGTACAAGTCCTGATTCTCATCATATCACTGGCATGCTATGGGCTAGGACCTGTTGGAATTGACCTGAACCATCGATCAGGACAGGTGATGCTTTGAGCTGTAAATACAGTAAAAGTAGAATAGGGTGGCCACACATGCAGGAAAATTTAACTCTTTTACTTTGCATTATCATCTCAGATTCTTTATTCACATGGCGAGCTAAGTCAGTGATACAGAATCTCCCAATAATAATACAGTAATAATGTTTCAGTATTGGTACCATTGTTTATAGTTGTTAATGTCATTCCAACGCAGTATCCGACTCAGGTGGATATGACGAGTCAGTTGGATGACATGTTGTCCAATGACAGAGACTAGCTCTGTCTAATGGACCCAACTGAGTAGGCACCTCTCGCCTGAAGAAGGAAACAGAGCCAGTTTCCGAAACACCGTGGTCTTCTTCTACTTTTTAAACAGGGATGATGGAAAAAGACCAGGCTATGAATAATTTTAAACTTAAAAAATATTATTTGCTTATTATATGTTTCCTAGTTCTTTTCTCAGACATCATGACCAGTGCTACTTCTTATGTTTATAACACTGGATTTCAAATTGAAATGGTGAAATGTGATATTGATATCACTTCATGATTTTTGCTTTCATCACAGAAAGAAAGAAGTTGTAATAAAATATTTGTTCACTGATATCAAATAAAATATGTTTTGTGTTTGACATATTTGAAAATTATCCACATTTTGTAATTTTATTTATAATTTACTTCATACTCATTTAGTCCTATTTTGTATTGTGGCTTTGTTTCATAATTCATTTGATGGCATTCACTAAACATTGTTTGTTTTATCATTTTACACTAACATAACATTATCAATGACCAGTTTAGGTCATATGTGTTTTAAGTTGTTGAATTCTTTAGATTGAGTACTGATTTCATGTCACTTGGCCATTTGCTTTAGCTAAGTCCCTAACCTGTTTGGCAGCCCATGCACAATTGATTTAACTTCTGTTACAGGTTCTGGTAACGAGTCTTTCTCTACAGCAGGTGGACTATCAGGAACCAGCAAATTTCTGGATTGGACCAAGAGCCGTAAGTTTCAAATTATCCTATTCTTATTAGGAGTAGCCCCAAACTTTCCATGATTCTGCTGTTTGCTAGTTATTATCTTTAACTGAGTTCTTTATCCCTTTACAATTTGGTGATGATTCATATTGTTGATTTCTTAAATCATTCAGTATCTTGAGGTTCTCTGTTTACTATCTTTTTGATTTCTTTTGTAGAAGCATTTCCTTTTGATCACATTGTCACTGTCTCTCACATACAGGCGGACTTAATACATCTTGGGGCCAAGTTCGCACCGTGCATGCGGAAAGATGCAAAAATCATCAGAGAGATAGAGAAGGGAAGAGAAAAGGAGCGTGAGACAGCATGCTGCATCCGTAACGATGATTCAGGCTGTGTGCAGTCCTCCCAGGCCGATTGCTCAGTAAGCTTCAACTTCCAGTTTCTTTATTTAGAAGTGTATGTTACGAGAATGACGATTATTTTACAAATTTCATAAAACTTAACAATTTATCTTGTTATTGATAAGTACTAGCTTTATTAGAAATGATAAAAGAGGTTGTTTCCTTCAGCTTTGTTTATATTGGCTTGTGTATAGACTGAAGTGAAGTTTGTTATTATGTGTGCAGGATAGTCATTGGGGCTCACATTGAATTACACTGAATGAAATTCATGTTTAAGTTTTGGTGTTAATGTAGTAAATTAATATTTACAGATGAAACCCTGAAGTTCTTTCTTTGACACCGTATTTTAGTATTTCATCCATTGATACTGGGCCTTAATCTCATAGGTAGAGAAGACTGCTACCCATCCAGTCCACCTCATATGAATTAATCTTTGCATCTCCTGGTGAAACTGAAAGTCTTGTCATCTTGTGGTGTCCGCTGCTAGTGAATAAAGTCCTAGAGATAGATAGATAGATAGATTGATATAACATTTGTATTATAAGCATATGTATAATACGGTGTTCTGTTTTCTTCCAACCAACTGGTGCGGGGACTAAGACCAATGGTACGTTGTATCACCTTGTGCTCCTAAAGCTTGCCTGTGATTGGTTGGTTCTTTTAGTGCTGCTCCAGACTGCATCATTAACATTAATTTTGATTACTGTTCCTTGGATTTTTCTGTCCTGTTCTTTAAATTGTTCTGCCTTTCCTCTGCCCTGTGTTAACTATTTTCTTGCTATAAAGGTGTAGCATATTGCCACAAAAACAAATGCATGGTTGGTTGGTTGTTTTTTATTTATTTGTTTGTTTGTACAAAGTGTTATGAGGATTGCTGGATCTATTCTTGGTCTTAGAAGTGATCCAGGCAGTTAGAATGTGTTGCATTATTTAGAGTTTATGTAGGGAATACAACTTTTTTATACAAAATTGTTTCGATATTTTTCAGTCTTGTTCTCTGCCTCACATAATTTTTAAGTCCAAATCTTGTGAAAATTATCACTATTATATGATATATATTATAGTGTGGAATTTTGAGAATATTGTACATTTAATATGAAATATGCATATATTTTTAAAACACTCTTTGCTGATTGATAGAAACAAGAGCCCTTGATTTTCATAGGATGTTACATTAACTAATTTACATCGAAATCCTGCAAGTAGGAAAGCCATATTTTGTAGCTGTTTTGCTGTGTTTTATTTGACCACATAGGCAATTCCATTTTCTAGTAACATTCTGCAGCATGGCCCATAAGTCACATATGTATGTAGAATGAAAGAGTTTAGGATTCTCAGCAATTAAGTTCTGGAAATTTGAGGTTTTTATAATGGTGAAAATTAGGGTTGTAGTCTTCTGGGTTATGATGCTACATAGTGTTGTAGGTGGTTACCAACATTTCAGCAGAACACGTAGCTTCCATCTTCAATAGATAAATCTGTGGTTGTAGGTGTCTAGGTTAATTTAAACTCATAGGATTGTCAAACTGCTTACAGCATGATAATTGTATTCTACATGTAAAATGAGAGAAAGTTTTATCTGGCAGAATGTCCTTGCCATTGTACCTTAGTTGACTGATGGGTTTTCAATAGCTGCATGCGGTCATTTGGAAAGAATGGTTTGTGTTGTTTCTTCTACTATATGTGCAGTTCATTACACCATTTCTTTAGCATTGTTCTTTAAACCATTTGTATTGTCTAACCGTGCATTTTGTTTTGCAGAAGTTTAATAATATTTTGATATGTAGCATGGTTGTAAGAAAACTTATTAAGGTGTATAAATATTATGAAATATTGATAATTAATTATTAGGGTATGGTTAATATGTCTAAAAAGTGGTCACTGTCAAGAATACTTTAAATTAACTAATGAAACAAAGTAATTAGAAAGTCATCTTGGTGTATTATGTTTAAAGTACTTATGTTACTTTTTCCCTCTTATTTTGGTAACACTGCCTATTGCCATTGTAAGACAGTTACAGATCCGACCTTTATCCTTTGTGTTTCACAGGATGTTGGAGTCGTCTGTAATGAACATGTTTTCCACACTCTTTGAGTAACTAACATACTTTTGATTGAATACAGTTGCCAGGCTGGTCACAGTAAGGAAATTAAGTACTACACAAGTAGAGGTGCATAATAATAATCACTTGTGTTTGTGTCACATGGGAAAAGAAGATGTATGTGCCCACAAGAAGACCAATGATCTGGGGTATCTGTATTGTTATAAATACACAGTGGTAAATAGTGTGCATAAATTAACTCTCTGTTTTGTGACCAGTCTGCCAAGCTTTAACTAAATTTAAAAGGTATTAAAATGATTTTCTTTGTAACAGCCTACATGTACAACTTTATTTCTGTGAAAGTGGTACTAACATTCTGCTATGAATGTTGCAGAACTAACAGAATAACAGCAGCATCTTTGTGTCTATTTAGCTTCATTTTACAAGAGATTGATAATGTATTATTATAATTATTTATTTTAGAAAATAATATCTACATGGAAAAAATGGTCAGCTGGAGATTCGGGGCCTGGGGGGAGAATATCTGGATCTGTTTGTGGACTTGATCCTAAGTAAGTACCTAGTTCTAGAATAAAATGTTGAAATAGGACAATATAAATGTTTTTGTTTTCTGAAATTTGCAAAAAATATAATGTTTTATCATCAGACAGTGTAAACCCTCACTTGTGTACTTGAAGCCCTGGAATTTAATTACAACCTTCATTTAAATGCCTAGTAGTTAATTTGTTGAGAGCGAATGAAGAGAAAATCCCAAAGATTATAAAAGGAAAATGCCTATTAGAGAGACTGAGATGAAGATGTTACAGTGGTAGAACAAAAGAAGAAATGGGGGGGGGGGAGAGAGAGAGAGAGAGAGAGAAGGAACTCTTTAAAAACAGAGACAGGTGGCTTGGCTGTTAGCAGTCCACATAAAGTGGAAATGTCTCAGAAAGAAAAAGAAAGTATATTGGTACAATTTTTTCAATAGCATAGGCTTCCAACACCTGAAAGTTACAAAACCTAACCTCAATAGTTTTGCTGATTCCATGTTTGTAGGTTTGAATACATAAAGTAGATATGCCTTCACAACAAAATGTGGTAATGTGTATGATGTTAAAATCAAGCTCTTGTCTAATATGAAATGTAAACTGCTTAAGGTTCTGTGAAGCACCTGCATCAGTTGCACCTTATGAATGGCCTGATGACATCACCAAGTGGCCAATTTGTCGCAAGACCAATTCCATCTCTCAGCAGCGTTTCCGCTACAAAGACAAAATGGCAGAGCACATGGTGTGTGAAGTGATTGGCCACCCTTGCTGTATTGGTATCCATGGCATGTGTCGCATAACCACCAAGGAGTACTGCGATTTTGTCAGGGGCTACTTTCATGAGGAGGCTTCCCTTTGTTCTCAGGTTAGTTAGGTTAGGTTAGGTTAAATTGAAGTAATATGTTATTAAGTTTATTTTCACATGTTGTGTACTTGCAAAAGAAATGTACATTGAAGAAAGATTATTATTACCATTATTTTCTGTGACACCTGTCACTTTTATCTTCTTGCAAAAATTATATTAGCACTTTAAAAGTATACATTTTAAATGAATTGATACAGTTTGAAGCTCAGCAGAGCTTTACATGTCACATAAGCAGCAAAACAGGTGAACATATTTGTTGTCACTGGATGTATAACTTTGTCACCGAACTAAGTATGAGTTTAAATTGACTTTGTACATCTGATGTAGGTATCTTGTCTGGATGATGTCTGTGGGATGATTCCTTTCTATTCACCTGAAATCCCTGACCAGTTCTACCGACTCTGGACTTCACTGTTCCTTCATGCTGGGTAAGTTGATCTATAACTTAGTAATCTATCTGTGTGCAAATTATTTACTAGTGTGGAATTCTAGTTCAATGTTTCATAATATGGAATTAGTAACAGTCACCATATGGTTTTATGTGTCTGGTCTATCATTTATTATTACTTAAAAATCTGTATATTTATTTCTTTTATCATGTTATTTTTTATTTTTGAAAAGTGTCATTAAACTGGAAGTTTTAAATTTTTAAAATATTTATCACCACATTGATTTTTAGCTATGTACATGAACATCACTTCAAACCAGTGATACATAATTATAATTTGGAATGTCAGTACCTTTCCATTGTTCCTTGTAGATGTGCCATTTGGATATGTCTAAAAACCACTTTATATTATGCAAATTAGATATATATAATAGCCATTACATGACATAATTTCAGGAAATAAATTTGATCAAAAATTTCAACAATAGGTTTCAGAAGAAAATATGTTTGAAGTCAGCAGTAAACTTTAATGAATTTGAGATTTTACCAGGAGTTAAAATTTTTATTGTCTTCTGGATTATGATACCTTACAGTCTTGTAGAAGCTTACCAACATTTTGAAGAAACATATTGCCTCCTTCTTCTGCCCTGAAGATGGAAGTGATATGTTCTTCTGAAGCAAAGTAGGAAACTAATAAATGTTACATGATAAAGTTTCATAATAATGCTTATCCAGTATTACAGATATGAAAAATTACACATTCAGAGAAGATATCATGAGGTGTATTTATTTTTGGTCTAGTAGGGCCTTCTTTCATTTTATATGCATTTAGATAAATGTCGTGATTGGTCTTGAACCACAACCCACTGTTAGGTTTCAGTATTGAAACCTGATTGACTGGAATAATGAGTTTGGTTTCACCTGATGAGTAACAGGTATTTCATTTTGTGCTGCAGAATATTCCAGTTGTTTATCACACTGTTGATACAGTATTTCCTGATGAGAGACCTTGAGAAACTGACAGGGCCACTGAGAATTGCCATCATCTACATGGGTTCAGGAGTAGCTGGCAATCTTGCCAGTGTTATTTTTGTACCCTACCGTGCTGATGTAAGTACTTCTAATTTAAATTATAATGAACTAATTGTTAGATTGCCTACCACAGTGACTCCATGTACATAACGTGTCTTAATATTTAAGCAAATCATTATTTCGGTACAATTTGTGTCAACAAAATCCTGAGAAAAGAAGAGGTGCTTTCACCATACAAAATTAGGCGCTTCAAGGTTATGGTAAAATCATACAGCAGAATCCAGGTCATTTCAGTAGAGCTGAGCATTTTGTGGGGCGTCTCGCTTCAACCTGATGTAACATTTTTATTTGTAATAGGAGTAATGAGATATTTTGACCACAGAATTTATTATTTGTTAGTTTATATGACTATCCTTATGCTTATAATACATTTGCTGCGGTATTTTATTATTTTTATAGATGGTATTATATTATTTTTATAGATTAAAAATTATTCTTTGCGTTTTGAATTGTTTAAATTTTTCTGCATAGGTAAAAATATGCACTGCCATGAATATACAATCTGTGTACTCTACCATCAGCATTCTGACTATGAAAAGTAACTCAGGGTACAGACTTCATTTTTCTAAACTGCGACCCAATTAGTATTTTTAGAGTACAAGAAATGTACAATTTATTTTAGTGTATATTTGTGTGTTGTGTACATGAAGTGATTTTGCTCAGTTATGGCCTCATTTTCAAATACAATACAGTAGTCAGTTTGTTACCTTATTTAGCCATTAAATTTAATATACAATTTTATATTCAACAGCACCATTGCCATTTTACCAGACTGTTCAGGCTGTTCAGAATTATCTCTGAAGAACTTAAATACATTGTAAATAGTCTATTTTATCCTGAATTTTGAAGTCAGATCTTCCATACACCAAACAGAATACAACAGTTTAATACATGACACAAACTGTAACATATTATGAACCTGTGAAAAGCAAATAACATATTGTGATATTTCAGATTCTCATGGCAGTAAGTATGAAGATGACAGACTGTCTTCTAGGACATTGTGCTGTGTAGAAAATTATGTTTCTAAGGTGCTTACTGCATGTCATCATTGCCCTAATGATGGAGGCAGTAAGCACCTCTGAAATATGCCATGATAGGATTACCTGCTTGTGTATGGCTGCAGCCAGTTCACAACTCACAGCCCATTAAAGCTGACAGTGTGACATTGTAAACATAGAGCTACACAGTAGCCTTGTAGCATCAAATTTTGTGATGACTAGTATAGTTTGACTGTATAAAAAGTGAGTTCATTCAGCCAGAAAACAACATCTTGTCTATTTCCAATAGCCTTATAAAAGGAAGTTATTAATTGAAGTATTTTTTGCAGTTACAGTTGGCATTCTCCTTTCTTCTCCCAGTCAGTTGTTACACACAAAATTGCAGATGATTCTTGTAAGAGGTAGAAACCTAAGAATCTGAGGAATAAACCTTTCTGAAATAGTTCACATACTTTGTCAGAAGATATGCATATTGAAAAATGCTTTTTCGCCTTTTTTCTCAGTCCTAACTGATCTGCATTTTTGGTGCTTACAGGTGGGTCCTGCAGGGGCACAGTTTGGTCTGCTGGCCTGCCTTATTGTGGAGGTGCTGAATGTAAGGCCCATGCTGAAGCACCCAAACCAAGCATTGGTGAAACTGTTAGCCATCACATTGGTGCTACTCCTCTTTGGTCTTCTTCCTTGGATAGACAATTATGCCCACCTGTTTGGTTTTATTTTTGGTTTTCTTTTATCCTACGCTCTCATGCCATATGTCTCCTTCGGCCACTATGACCGCCATAAGAAGATAGCTCTTATCTGGGTATGTCTTCTCTCTTCCTTTTTCCTCTTTGTTGCCTTGGTCATCCTGTTCTATGTGATTCCTGTGTATGACTGTGAGGTTTGCAACATCTTCAACTGCCTCCCACTCACACGGGATTTCTGCGCCAGTCAGAATATCAATTTCAAGAGGGAAGAACCTGTGGTATGACGAAAGTGGGTACGGTTGGTTGGAACCGTATGTGTAATAAACTTCGGTGCATTTGCAGCAGCAGTGGATAGTAACGGTCTTGCTCGAATAGTGACAAAGCTGGTTCAAGCAAGAACTGTGTGTCCTGTCAAACTCTGGCTGCACTGGAAATGGGATCTGTTTAAAAAGTTCTCTCGCATGCTACCCATGCTTTTTATGGAAACCACACAGTTTTGGACGTGGACTACAAACTTAAAATACACATAATTTTTTTAAGTAAAGGTACTACGTATGTGTCAGTTTTTCGTCAAGATTCGTAATGGATGGTCATCGTATTCTAAGCAACTGTTGTATATAAATTTGTTTTGTGGACCAATAATTGCTGAGCTCCACTCGAAAGTGATAAAAATAAATGGCAGCTGAAACCTATACAAAATATTGTAAATACATTACATGTCTCTGTTTTCCTTTGAATTTCATCATGCGATAAGAGGAATTGGAAGTGGGAGCTTGTGTGCAGTAACTGTGTGAAGAAAATGTTTTTGTTTAAACTTTAGTTTCCTTTGAAAACACAAAAAGGTAAATAGAAACGAAGGAAGGAAGGACGGTTGTCATTGTTAACTGCTACAAAACTGTTGTAGACTTTATCCCATTTTGTTTCCGAAACACCCTTTCCCCATTAATTAATACCGTACAAATTTTTGAAAAGAAAATGAAAACAAATCCACAGAAGTGCTTGGAAAAATACGTCAACATAATGTTATAATTTAAATTACTCACAGAGGTACTTTAAATAATCGTCATACTATAGTTTGTTTCTTTTCTGGTACCATATCTAGAATGGTGGACAGTTAAATATACAGAATGTTGATTCTTGAACAGTGTGTAAGGCAGCAGTATATTTCTGTTGATATTCTCTGTGTCAAGTTTACTGTTTGTCAGTAAGTTATGTATCTAGAGAGCATGGATGTTGGATGCACAGACACTTGCATGGAACACACATTTAACTTTGTTGCCATATAAGGAAGTGGGAACTTAATTGTTTCAGACATTGTTAAGCTATAACCTTAAATCATACAGAAGTAGGGAATTAAGAGCCTGTATACAGGGCTGCCAGCACTCGATCAATAAATGCTAAGAAGAGGAAGCGATTAGGTAAAATCATGATAAAAGTGAGTAATGTCTTGTTCTGTTCAGAATAATGTTATAGATTAGTGCATGTCACTTAAAAATTTAATATCAAACTGTGCTGGTTTCACTCTATATCTTTTTTTGAAAATATTTCAGTTGCAAGAACTGTGGAAGTACATCACCAATTTAGTATGGCTGCTACTAAATATTTATCTTAAAATTAAAACAATATATTATAAATGAAGTTGAATTAAATATGCTAACCATAATTCCTGAAATAGCAGACAAAAACATTTTTTCTTTTGAAAATATTGTGCTGAAAATTCTTCAAGTTTCACTTATAAATTTCTTGCTTATAGACTGGACAGTTTACTAACATCATAAGTAGGATTTCACATTCTCATGGTGGCAAGTATCAAGGTGTCTGTCTTCTGGGTTATAGTGCCATGTAGGCTGGTAGAAGTTTTACCATTACAGGTAGCCCTCGATTTGCGTCGATTCAGAATAACACCGATTTTGAAACCAGAAAGTCAAAAATGAAAAAAAAATACTATTATTTATAACGTTTTACAATGTTTACCGCACTGCTTCTTATACTAAATCGTAATTCTTACATCGCTGATTTTGAAGAAAAATTATAAATACTGTCATCTCTGCAATTACATATGTTTCGTTAACGCGAATTTGCTCCAATGAGATCGATCAATCAATCGATAAAAGCTGTTTTTGAAATGCAAACTTTTGCATATGCGAGTTTGCTCTTGTGCTACAGCGAAGAGGATCGTTATGGCATCCATGAGCCCTTATCGTGAAATTTTGAAAGAAAGAAAGAAGAAATCACATCAGTCCACACTATATACCTTCTTTAAAAATCATGACGATCCTCAACCAGGGACTTCGTCAGAGAACTAACTCCGCTTCATCACGCCCTCGCCGATTGTAAGTGTATAAAATATATTTTTTAAATTCCCTTTATTTTATTTACTTTATTTCAGAGCTTTAAATGTAATGCCATTATATTACTCATCAATGTTTGGGTGCTGGGAACGTATGTCATTGACTTACCATTGATTTGCGTTATAAAAGAGTTTCAATTTACGTCGATTCCGTTTACGCCGGTTCGTCCAGGAACACATCCCCAGCGTAAATCGATGATTACCGGTATTTCAGAGGTACATGCAGTCCCCATCACCATAGTAATCACCCTGATGGTTTAGACAGGTCATACGTTTGAAACATAAGTAAACTTATACCAGACTACATGGTGCTAAGACCCAGAAGACAAAGACATCTTCCAGCTAACATCATCATGACAGTGAATATTTTTTCCAGCAGTTCTCGGTAAAACGATAAATTTGTCCCTGGTGCTTAATTAAGCACCGCACCATGCAGACATGAGGCAGTGGGTGTATAACTCTCTGCATTATTTACCTTCTCACTAGATTGGGATGGAATTTAATATCATCGCAATTTCTGTAACAGAATACTTGTAATACATGTTTGGTTTTTCAGGTTAGAAGCATAGTTAACAGCTTCAGAATAAGTTTAATTGTCTCTTAGAAACACTGTACAATCAATCTAAAATGAGATGTCACATGTAAGTCAGCTGTTTTTCTTAGTTCTCCATTTCAGACACATTAAATTAACAATGGTTTACGAATAAATTCTGGTAATTAATTTGTACTCTAACATTTATGAGCCATGCGTCACTGCTTTGCATGGTCCGGCTAAGTGTGTGTCGCAGTGACTTACTGCTAAACAGTTAAGCCCAGAGTTAAATTCCAGCCAGCAACCCCATAATAGATACAGACAAAGAAAAAGATTTATTAGGGATATGAAAACTTTCATATACATTTATTTTTCTACTTCAAACAAACTATAGAACAGAATTTAAATGCCACAGCCTCAAATATATTTGTTGTCCATTGGTTATGTGTTATTATAATTTATATTACATTTTTTTGTTTCAGTATCTGCTTCATTTTCTTATGCAAATGCAATGGAATTTGTTGTAAACCAACATTAACATACAAAAGGTATCATATGTTTTGTCAGGATTGTCCATTTTAGTGTAACAAGAGTGATATCAAGCATAAAGAGATTCTTTCAGTTGAATGTCGGTATTCCATGCATATGTGTCTGTGGGTTTTTTCTACACATAAGGGGTTTTCATGCATTTGAAGTAGTTTTAAACTCTTTTTGAGAGGAGTAAACAAAATTTACCTCATTCAAGTATTAATGAATTGAGGTTATAATTCTTCAATGAATTAAAATTATATAACTCATTAACAGCTGATGGGGGATGGGCAGTTTTGTATGAAGCTTCCATTTAAAGGTAATATGAACTTTGATTTCCTGTTAATTATGTGTGCCATAGTCAAAGTATTATATCACAGACTAAGGATTATAAGTCCTCAAATTTTAAAGTAATGGCACACATTAAAATTAAGGTTATGTCATGTGAAATTTGCCAGGCTGTCATTGTACTCAGTATACTGGTTAAGCTACCTGAATACTAAGTACAAAGGTAATGAAGACTGTGACCATAAGTGATATTATAGTATGTATTCTGATTAATCAGTGTTTCATTAGCATATTTAAACAAGTCAATGTAACTGGTTAAAATTACTTTTTTAATGTACTGACAAGTATTTATCACTACCAAAACAAATTTGCGTTCATAATTTAATATTCACAGAACTGCAAAACTGACCAACAAAATTGAACAGAATTCTGAAAATGACAAAAAAATTATAAAAATCATACACATAAGTCAGTTATGTTTTGAGCCTTCTCTTTAAAGAAAAGAACATAGACCTCAGAATTTCTGAGTTGAAGATAATTATGTTACTGATTCCAAATTTTAAATTTTGCTTTCAGATGAAATTCCTACTGATCGTGTTCCAGTAATATTTAAATTAGCTGATTGAGAAATTCCTTGTAATTCATGTGTAATGATAATAGATTCTTATTTTAATATTCACTTGTGCCATCTTGTTGCTTGCATACACATTGCCTGTCCCTTATTCTAGTTACATGATGATGAACCCTGAATGTGTTTGATAGGTGTCTGTATAATCTTAACTTCTACATCTTCATGGTGATATAATAATACTAGGGAAAGTAAGTTAACAGATTGTGAAATGAAATGTGGAACAAGAATAGGCTTTGAACTAAGAACCATAAGCACAAAAGAATCATAATCCACCCCTTCCTTCAAAAAAATGCAACAGTTATAATGGAAGTGTCTCTTTTCTGCTCCTAAACATTATTTCAGTCGTTGTTGCTGCCATATTTGCTTGCAAAAAATGTTACATATAATTAATTCTTTACTCTTCCCTCTCAACCATAACACTACTATCAGCCCTTACCCTTACTCCACCAACCCCTTGTTGAATGATATCTGAATGTCAGACCTCTAGGATGGGGTGGAAAACAGACCATCACATTTTGAAAAACTTGGCAACATTTTGCAAAGTACCCTTTTTCTATAAAATAACTTGAAATAAAAATTAATATAAAAACTTATGCACACAAGTGTCTATATAAGAAATATATATATATATAAAAGTATAGAAATGAAATGATCATGTACAGTTTGTGATAATTTTTTCATCATGAAAATCATAATCCATAGTGCTTTTTTGAGCATGTGATATAATTTTTTTTATCATTCATCATAAGAAGAATTTTTGTACTCATATTCTGTAATGACAGGTGAGTGCAAGGAACTTAAAACCATCACAGAAATAAAATACATGTGAAAGAAACATGAAATAATTAAACAGTTACTGATATGTACCATGTGTGTCCATTAATCTTCAAAATTTGTCCCCCATGCCTTCTCTAACATATGAGGTGATCCCTGTTCATCATGAAAAATAATAATTACCACCATTAAGAATAATAGAAAATATTTATTTCTGTATTACTGCATGTGAAGAAAAACAAATTTTACCACAATCAAGACAGAAGCTGCTAGCACATGAAAAATTTTAGTTTGGTAAATGATATCATAGTCTACAAATGTGTTTTGTATGTGAATTGCCTCTTATGATATTATACAAGGCTAAGCAATCTTCCTGTGTGTCTTCAACCTTTATCGGCCATGCATCATGGCTTATACCCAGTCTAGCTAGCCGAGCATCAGAGTTTTTTTTATCAAACTCTTGGACCCCGGAATTAAATAACCTACAGTTCCACAGCATCAGGATTTAAATCTGCTGTTCTCACAGGCTGACTATTTTTGTCATGTGATGCATTATAATTTATATACCACAAGGGGCTCTTCGTAATGGAAAGTATAAGTAAAATAAGCATATTATGAGAACGGAATATTAGCTGGGGAACATAATGGTAGTTGGGCAAAAACCTGTTGAATACTTGATGAAGACTTAATACAATGCACTAATATTACAGGTGAGTTTTGTGGTATATTTTGAAGTTATTTAAGAAGGACTATTATGAAAATGTAATGAGTAATTGTGCCTTAATCTCTCCCTGCGAAAAAGAATCGAAATTTTAGCTTGCACACTTCCTTAATTTCTTCTCATTTTATATTGTAATAATCATACATAATATTGATTAGCCAGTGTGTTATAATTATCACTGTGAAAGTATTCTTCATTTATCTTCAGGGAGAGATGATGTTATTGGCAGTGCTCTGTTTACAAGGAAAATGGTAGCAAAAGGTACTTTTAAATTTTCTATAGTCTTCTTTTCTTTTCCTAGTGTCCTATGTCTGTTTCTTACTGACATTTTCAAACTGACTAAGCCAGTGCATAATAAACTGTGAAAATGGCCCTTGCATGCTCTCTGTCACATAAAAAACCCTGGATGTTGAATTCTAGTTGTTAAATTTGTCTGATTTATAAGAGTTAAGGCTTGCACAGATATTTGAAAACTTTGTGAAAGATTACATTACAATACAGTACCATTCCAGATTTATAAAGACTAAGGGACTCAAATTGACTAGTGGAGCAACTATTAGCTTCTCAGGAAGGACTGCTTTATGGATTTATGTAGTAGTAATCAAAATTAAAAGCAATGTGCAAGTCATCTGAAGCCAAAATGGCATAAATTTCATTTCTACAGTTGGTATCTGGTTGATTAAGGAAGTATTCATACAAGTTTATTATTGAATTCTCCATCAAATTTCAGGTCCAAATCATAAATTGCTCTATGTACATGACATATCTGGGAATTTATCAGAGCATTTAAGACTATTACATTATGAGCATTTGTATCATGTCATAAGAAGGCATCGGTTTGCGTGAACTGTTTGATTTATTTGTACATGAACAGAACCACTGGCCATGTTGTGTATGGTTGCTACTAATTTTTTCTGTAATTGCAACATTTGGCTGTGGTTAACATTTAAGCAATGCAGAAAGACATCTTTTTCCTGTTCTTTTATGTATTATATCCTAAATGTTCCCACACCTTTCATTTAGTACATGTATTACAAAATTTAAAGGCATGTAGGTGATAATGTTAGCTTAAAAGACAACATGCATCTGCAAGACATTTAAATTTAATTCATCTGGTTAGAGAGGGAATTAAACTTATTTCAAATTTCTGTACAGTAGTCCATTAGCTTAGTGTATTGTATTGACTTCTTCTGTCTTCTTGTCTGATTCTTGTTCTTTTGTTACCTGTTGCTTCAAGGTCACTTAGCATAAACCAGCAGCTTATAAATTGTTGGCAAACCTATTTTGTTGAGGTTCTAGAATTATATGTTGAAAGTTATAAATGTATGCATTTTAGAATGTGATTTTTGTTGAAATCGAGAAACGTTCTTTTTCAGAATAGTTGCTGTTGTCTTTAGCCTCACTTATAGACACTGTAGTATATAACAACGCTTGGAGTACCAAGGACTTCTCTTCCTCACATGACCACAATCCATATTTACAGATTCTTTTGCATGGGACTTAAACAAGTTTGTTCCATACATCTTCCAAGGCTTTTCACGTCCTCAGAAGGAACTGTGTTAGTAGGGAGTAAGACGTGCAAGATACAGGCAGTATTGTGCTGTGATTTCTGCTATTTTGAAACTAAGATTTAATCTTTAACCAATATTGACCATTTACATGAATGGCAGTGCTATAGCTCAGGTGGTTTGTCACTGGCCTTTCATCTCGGAAACCTCTATTTATGCCCAGGTTTGTCTGTGTGAGATTTGTGGTAGATGAAGTGGCACTGGATATTTCTTTTAGTTCTTCAGTTTTCTCCTGTCAACAACATTCTACTGCTACTTAGTGTTCACTGATTTATTGTCTGGGGGATGGAAAAGTGGCCATGTTAATGATCCAGTTCCATTGAGACATATTCTCACCTCTTCGCAACAATAACAAAACAGATACAGGGATAATTTCAATGCCTGAAGTATCTTTTTTGCAAGGTATCTTCATATGTTGATTGAGTATTCTATTTATTTTTCAATTCATGCTGAAATATGCCACTAGAAGTGTTGTATAAAGAATGTATGTGACAGAATATAGTCAACATTTTGAATTCATCATCACACACATCGACAATAGTAGGCAAAAATTTTACTTTTGAGACATTATTTATTAATAGAATAGAAGACCAAGTCATGGGTAATCAAAAGATTACACTTATTTAAAATTAAGTAATTTTACTACTTTTATCATGACAGTTATATTCAGAATCTGGTGACCATAAGATCTAAACTGAAGGTCTAACATTCCAATAGAAAAACTTAATGTTAATGTCAGCATGATTTCAAATTGCATTTCTTTCATCATATGACAATATTCTCAACTCTTCTATAAAATTTTTACATAAATATAGTTGTAATAAATAAAAAAATTCTTGAGTATGATTTCTTCTTGGAATAATTTGTAATTTACTTCATGAATGTAAATTCTTCTTTATTTTTTGGTTTCTTGATCCCAAAGCTGAGACCTAGATGGTAAATTAACATTATTTTACAACTATTTTCACACGGCCAAAGTTTATCTTTTGATTACTGACGATGTGAATTGTATAAATCATTTGCAGCACAGGGACATTCTGGGAGCAAGTCAGATTCATAAATCCTTCCTTCAGTATGAACTTCTGTATGACTGACATATTACAATTCATTAATCAGAAGACTCATATTTGTTTTAGTTTGTGCAGTTTTTTTACACATCCATGTAGCTTTTGATTTTAATTTGATATGGCAAAGCATAAATGGCCGCCAGTATACTTGAAGTGTTTTACTGTGAAACTGATTTCTGTTACCTATATTTTCTAAAATTTAAGTTCTTCATAGAACATTTTCGATGCAGTGACCATATACAGAAATCTTAAATGTCATTCTGAGTATATATTCAAGACAAATCATTCATTACTGTTGTATGTAACTGGGAAAAAGGAAGCATTTTTTCACGCTGTACATTTGGTGTTAAGCTGTTAATATGTTCTGTTCTACCATCTCTCTCCATTGGGCTTTATTTGAAATGTAGGAATGATGAACATGTGCCAAACACTGGAAGTGACCATATAATTATATTAAATATTTTAGGTGGGTGAAAGCTTAATATGGGAAAATATTGCCTTTAAGTTGTGACTTCCCATATCTTGATATTTCTTGGGTATATTATTGGCTCATGATAGGAGTAATTATTTCAAATATGATAATCTGTCACCACCAGCTGTCAAGTACAGAACAGAAAGTAAATAATCTACAACAGAATTCAATCAAATATCAACATTGGCCTAATAAATATTCAAATTAACATAATAAGAAGTTTGATCTCAGTACATGTTATCATTAAATTGAGATTTAGTTTTCTTTTTATTTAATGTTATATTTTAACTTTAATTTAATTAATAATTTATTGAGGACAGAAAATGTTATCATATTATTTCTCCATGTGTTATCATATCAATAATTTGTGGAATTTTGATTCTTATTGCAAGTGTAAAAAAGTAATACTTTGTTCAGCTTAGATTCACCTTAAAATTTAATATACTTTCAAAGAAGGGAAAAAGAGCAGTTGAAACCAACATTCGACTAGCATAATGAAATATACCAAACAGAACTGTTAAGGACAGTAACCGTGATTGTTGTTGATTTATTCACTGTTCACTAACGGTGCCCAAAGACTGAAAAAAGATGGAGAACCAAACAAATGATTTTAATCATAATGTTCCACAGTGGATATGAAAGCACTGATGTAATCAGCTTTTGTATTTTCAGTAGTGTTCACAAAGATGAAATCATTTAGTATATTAATGAAACTGAAATAAAACAATGTAATTGTGATTTTTCCTCCCCAACCTAGATTTTTATATGACAAAAAACAAATGGGGTAATTTTTGTGTAATGATAAAATAAATGATTATTACAATAAATATTACATTGTTTCATCATCATTCTATTCAGAATTATGATCATCAGAATAATCCTAGCTTTTAATGGTACAATATACAATTTTGGGAAGAACTTATTATACCCAATTTCCTTTAAATGATGGGGTCTATTTGGTGAGGCTAGAAATAATCCAGCTGCCGTAGATTGTAGTATCATATTGCTAAACTATTAAATGCTGTAGTTAGAGTCCAGCTAGCAGCCTCTTAGTTGGTTTAAATCCATGTGATCCCAAAGTAAAAAAAAACACCATTATAGACTGTGACTATTTATGCAATATGTTCACAGCCACGTACATATGTGGTTGCTGTCTCCTCCTCCATCTGCAACCTGAGGATGTGCCATGCCATTATGACTTACTTGAGAAATTATTTTTATTACAATTTCCAAATACTTCACAATGTTTTGCTGTTCTTCCTTCTCTTCTACTTTTACCTTATATTCTTCTCATCTTCTTATTTCCATTGTCATCTCAGTACAGATCATTCTTTTCTAATCTCCGTTCTCTACCTTTTTCAGATCTTTCTTATCCCTTATTATCCTCTTATTTTTCAGATCTTTCTTATCCCTTATTACCTCTTATCCATTCTTGTCCTATTCATACCTTCCATTCTTGTGCTTCTTCTTCTGCTTCTCATTTACCTCTCATTTCTCTATCTTCATATTCTCCCTCTTTTCCGTCTTTCTTTTATTTTGGCAGTTCCAGTGTGTGATGGATGAAATGGCCTGGGAGCTGAAGGAAGTCAGTTCCAAAATCTGTTGTACAACTTGGTAAGTAATTTTCTGCATTATACATCATGTAAATATTTGTGTAAATTTCGTAGTGTTGTGATGCAGAGTTATACTGCATCCAGATGTCTATCAGTCTTTCTGTATGTGTGCTTGCTGGATTCTTCCAGCATCATTATGAGTGTCTCCTCCTCACTGACCCTCAGCTCCACGCAACAAGCCTCTGGATTCTGTCTGTTTTCTATTACTAATCACAGTGGTATGCAGCATCTTCTTGTGAAAAAGCTTGACAATATTTATGTGCTTATTACCATGAGAGATCTCCCTCATTCTAAGCAGTCATCATTGTATCTCCCAGTCTATCAGCTTTTTTCCCCTTCTTCCCCTGTCTGCTTGACTCCAGGATTTATAGCCTAGGAGCCCTCTGTCTTCCAACCTGCCAGTCAGTGGCTTTTAGTCTGCCAACTCCAGATTTCAGATTGTCTCTGTGTATGGAACACATTCTATTCCATTCCTGCATGTAAGATCTACATCTTCTAAGGCACTAACATTTTCCTGGATCCCATTTATTCTAGTCAGCAAGTAGTAAGTTCCATATGTTTCTTCAAGCAATTTCTTTGAAGCTTGTCTTGTAGCAATGTTTCCCTAAATCCCGTATGTTTCTTCTAAGGCACTTGTACCAGAGTCTATTTCTAGTTAGGATTCCCTAAGCCATACATGTCTCTTCACAGTGATTCACATTTCTGCATTGCTTCCATTGACGTAGACGCAGACTCTGCTACCACTAGAATTGTTCTGATAGAACCAACAGCTTAACTGGGGATCCAAACAACTGTGATGGCATGGTAGACTTTGTGTACAGTCTTTGTCAGAGGTGAGTGAAGGGAAGGCTGTTCCCTAGGCTATCAGGTTTTATAATCTGCAAAGTTCTTACTCCAGAGTAGTATGTCTATAATGGTGCTCATGAAAAGTCTGAAAATATAATCACATTTATAGTCTTTTGCAACTGCAAGGTATGTATGGTTATATTCAAATTATTATGGTGCTCTTTCATCTCACAAAAGGTATGAAAGTTACCATCCTTGACATACTACCGCTGGAATGAACTGTAGTAATACAGGGACGGTCAAGGCCCAGTCGACAAATTTTATAAAATATTATGAAAATACAGAAAGCTGTAATGACATGAAGGAAGCACTAAAAGTTTCATCTGTGGGTGTTTAGTATAAGATCCCTTTGAACCCTGCAGATCCCAGTGATAGTCTAGTTGTTCCCATGTTTGCCTCAGCATATCTCTGTTCACCTTGTTTTCTGGCTCGCTGATATGCTGCCGCAACTCAGGGAGGGTTCTAGGCATCAGAGAGACAAACCTGATCTTTGATGAATACCTAAGTAGTAAAATCTTAAGGTTTCAGATTCTGGGAATGCTGTTCCGTGGAATAAGTCTTATATGTCCAATTCGTTTTTTTTCTAGGAAATTCTGTCAAGATAGACACATGTCTGTGTGGCCATGTGCCATCTTGTTGAAAAGTCATGCTACCATTATTGTGTTCCTGTAGCCGTAGCATCAGGTAATTCCCCAGCATGATCATGTACATGACTCCACAGACACTTGGTTCCACATACAACAAGAGTTATTTCATGAAATCAAATTACACAGTGAGGTTTCTTTGAACCTGTGAAGGGTGCCATCTTGGCTACAACTGCCATGTGGTTAATTCAAGAGACAATTGTTTGCCATGACACAATGCTTCCTCATTATCATATCATTACAGGTTTCTGTATTTTCATGACTTTTTTTAAGTTGTCAAGTAGGTTTTAGCTCACTCTGTATTAGAACAGATTTGACTGTGACAAAGTATTAATTAAAATAATTTTAGATACAAATCCTAAATTGAAGGTACAAAGATTTTAAGTTTTAATGTTAGTGAAGTGTAGCACTTGATTTTGCTTTGGTATTAGTGTATGTAAGAAACATTCCAAATAGGGGAAGGGAAGGAATAAAATAAATGAAACAAACAAACAGGAGCCATAATAAAATCATATGTTTATTTTTATATAATAAATAAATAAATAAATTACGGGTATATAATCAATCTGATAAATAATACAAATAGTAAATTTCTCATATAATAACATACAGAATTACACAGATCCAAATAACTTTGAATATAAGTTCAGATGCAGAATTTGTTTCACATGCCAGTGGATATCAGTGATACACAGCATTGTAACCTAGAAGACCACAACCAACATTTTAATCTCCGTGGGAACCTAAAATCTCTAATTATTCTTATATTGTATTTTTTATGTTTAAAAATCTCTCATTGCCTGAAGTTGCCAAATATATCAAACCATTGAATTATAACAATTATAAATTTTTTATACCTTGTTACCTTTCAGGAAAGCCGATATATGTAGTAAGTTGAGACTGTTCTGAAGTGTACATTATACCACTATGGAAACACAAAACTATAGTATAACTTTTGAAAATGTTTATGACCAGGTCTAAATGCGATATAGGAAATATATGACAAGCTAAATAATACATTGTTTGGAAATAAGAGAAGATATGATATTCTGAGCTTGTATTCACATTGCCGAGAAAACGGTAATTGATTGACATCCATGATAAAAGCACTTACTACGTTAACATGACAAAGGAATAATGGGTATGATTATATGCTGATCCCATATATTAAGCCTTAACTTGCTAAAGTATGGACCGAAATTCACCACAAAAAATATGTTTGTACTTGAAACCCTAGAAAAGATGTATGAGGTTTGTTCAAATGAAACCTGTTTGCAGCACTGCTATCCAATACAGCCAATCAGAGATCATTACTGGGATGTCTGCATGACACATCAGCAGCAGAACAGGTGCATTAGAGCAAATAGGAATAGTGTGGCACTGTTAAATGTATGTTTTCCATGTGCAGAATCTGTTCAAAATAGGCCAGCAAGATGTCATTGCTGATGCTTTCATTCAAAGACACTGACATCATCATCATCAACTCATAACACTATCGTGGAACCCTCTGAAACCTCTGTAGTGCCAGAAACTGTCCAACAGGCTCACAAGGGATTTTGTTGTCCCTCGATGGCCCACACTGTCCAGGATATGCTATGCTTCATGTGATGAGATGTTGAACCATCTCCTATAAGATTTCCATGTTTTTTTCCCATGAAAACAGTGCTGAAGCACCTTAGATTTGTGTCAGATGATGTCAAGGTCATGGTTTGGTTTTACCAGGAATACTCCATGGAATTCTCTGCAGAGAAAGTCTGTTGGTTGCTACATCAATGGGATTCCTGCCTGAGTGCCCATGGTAAGTACTTTTAACAGCATATACTTTCTGCTTAGAACAAACCTTAAATGGGTTCATTTGAACAAGTCTCATAAATGTAGCAGTAAGCAGAATTGATTACTGATTTCTGAAATTATTAATTCACTGTCAGCAGGTTAGGTTTAAAATGTTTCATAATTGTGGATATAAAGAACAAGTATTAATATAAAAAGTGCCAGCAGAAATGATAAAACTAATGTTAATATCCCTTGTATCTGTATACAGGGCACATAATTTGACATTAAAATTCCCTTTGACCAGGAGTAGCAAACAGTATCACTTTATAATTTAACATAAATAATATGAAATAAATAATACACGTATAATGTTATATTTGTACCAGAAATATGAACTAATGATCAAATCAGTGAACAGTTTAAGTACAATGAAATATAAACCAATTTCAAGGTAAAAGGATGAAATGAAAGCTATGGACAAGGGATGGGTGGTAATGGAACATTCAAATGAATTTATCCTCAGGGGAGAAAATCTATAATATCACCTTATAATTTAGGTGAACCATTTGTGGTAAACATGTCAAAAATTATTTCAAAAAAAGAAAAACAAAAGATTACTCTTCCCTCCTTATATTTGGTTGTTATATTCTTGAAAGCATCACATTCAGGTGAAGGTGTGAAACATTAGTTTAAAAAATTATTAAACAATTTTAATGTGGGAAAGAATCTCATCCTTCCCTTTAAGCCTCTTTTGTGAATTTGGTAACAATTCTTTAAGTGGCCAAGAAAGTATGAAGCAATCACGCTTATATACATAAACACTATTGTAATTTTTCATCCAAAATAAATTAATTGATCTGAGTGAATCCAAAAGGAAAATAACCATTAAGTATAAATCTGAGGATATAATAATTCCTACTGCCTTTGTTACACCTGTAAATGTTATAGGAATGTCATTTCTTTTTATTACCTTATTTCACCACAAAGACTACACAGACATCTTAAGTAAACTCGTATCCGAAGTCTACTTTGTACTAGTCTTACTTGGTTTTACCCTGAGCATATAATTTAATTTTTCTGTAGTTAATTTAAATGACATAAAAATGACTGCAGCAGTTGCTGAATCCAGTTGCTGTTTCAAATACAAAACTTGACATACATAACACAAACAGTTTGGCTGACAAGATAGTGGTTGGCAATCATGAGTTGTCATTTTCTTCTGCACTTTTGACCTGATTCTAATTTACATTGAGCAACTAACTGGGAACTAGGCCAAACAGTGTTCACCACATAATTATGTGCTATAATTATAATTTTTCATGTATTTATTCAATTGTGAAATATAGATCCCTTTGTCAGAGCAAATTATAAAAAGTGTCAGCCTGTGCCATCATATACTTTGGTTTGTCACACAAGTACATCTCGATGCATGTCTTGGGCTTCTTTGCACCTGACTTGTAGGCTTCAATGTAGGATCCCAGTCTGTCTCGTATCCTCGATGGCGCCAACATGCGAAACTTCTCAAGTAACCTACAATATAATATACACATAGGCATTACACTTCACTGCAGTACTTTTTCAATTTTGTTGGTATTCTGTGTTTAACACTGTAGACTCGCAGGTAGATACCAGTGTTTCAGAAAACTTAGTCTCCATCTTCAGCCCTGAAGGTGGAGACAGTGTGTTTCTCAAAAATGTTGGTGTGTTTGTACAAGTCTACACAATGTCAAAACACAGCACAACATCATGATCCTCACCATTGTGAGAGTGTAAAATATCACTTTGTCAATTCTGTTTGGGAGGTCCCGAAACCACCCTAATGGATATCAAATGATTTTTGTGTTTTGTTTTCGTGAAGTGTCTCGTAAATTTGGAATCCCTGTTCATGCCTCTACTCTTGAAACTTATTGTCCAGGTGCACAGAAACCATTTTATGCACTCAGCTTAAATAACACGAATCCTTAATTTGCATGTTTTGCTTTTAGAATAATTTTTAAGGTTAAATCTGTAGATATGAGTGTGAGAAATTTGTTATTTTTAAGCTGTAATTATGAATTCTAAGAACGCATATGACACTGCACTTCAGAGCAACCCTAAGATATTATTTGCCTGCTACCATTGCTGACTATGGTCCTATTCTGAATGTCATCTTTAAAGTCTGTTGGCACCAAAAAACTTACTGGCTCTGAACTTGTTCAAGCCCAAATTTTACATAGACTTCATTTAGTAACATGACTCAAAACAGAGTGGATTATGGATTAAGTCAGTAAATTTAAAATATGACATAAAGACATGTCTACTTCTAGTTTACCAGATTACTATAAAAGTAATTAAATATCTCCACTTCTAAACCATTGTTTTGTTGTTAACAGACTCATGTGTTTATTGAAACTGTGCACATTTCAATAACCAGTGTCGCATTCATATGAAAGCCATAATATTTTTCAGATGTATATATACTGGCATCACTCACCACAATATGACTTTGGTATATGTCGTGGAATCATGTTTGGCAGCCATCTTGCAAGATAGTCTCTCCAAGCACTGCTGAGATTCAAGCACACGCTGTGTTAGTGCCAGAAAATCATGACTTGCATCCAATTGTCTCCACACTCTTCCAGTGTCAGGATCCACCTGCTTGACAGCATCCCTTCTGCGCCTCGAGGACGCTGTTTTCTTATTTTTGTTGTGTAACATGTCTGGTGGCGTATTATTCATCACAGGAACAGGCATCATAAGTAGAAAGGGTAGAATGAGAGGAAGAAGCAGAGGAATAAGTGCCAGTGGTGCCAGGGGAAGAAACAGTAATGGCAATAACAGGAGAGGGATTAAAGGTATCAGAATTAATGGAAACAATGCTGAGAATGTCAACAGCTTGAATAACTTCACAGCTTTGAAGAGGAAAAAGAATTTAATTGCTATTTTAAGAAAAATCAGTGGTATTTTGGCAAGAAGTATAAGGATAATTTTGACTAAGCCCAGAGCTTTCAACTTTGCCAAAACAATTTTCACAATGGCCAGTATTCCCAGTTTAGAATACTCCTCATGTTTGTCATGATATGAGTGAGCGGGGTAGTATATCGCAGGTGGTGGGTAATGGTGGGTAGGATGGTGATGATGGTGGCCATGGTGATGATGAGAATAGAGGTCGGGTGAATAATGATGCCCGCCATCGTAGTCATCATCATCTCCAAATGTTCCATAATCCCCATGTTCATCATAATGACCATATCCGTGTCTCGAGTTAGGGGAAACAAGCGGTACGCTGCTGCCACTGTTTTGTGTGAAGTAGTCCTGCATCAGACCTTCTCGATCATCTTGACTTCTGTCTATCTTGGCGGTTGTCGGCAAATTTCCTGCAGATGCACCTGTCACAGATGAGTACTTTGCACTTGCTTTTCCTTGCATATTGTTATCTGTGGCTGGAGCTGCTGGGGGTAAATACATTGATTGTTTTCCTTTGTCGCTGTACGTATTGTACACGAAAGCATGGTTACCACTGTAAAAATTACTGGCAATGGGAGAGAGATGGTAATCAGGAGGTGAGTAACTCAGTTTCCTTTTTGCTGTATCATATGGGTACGTTGAGGTGGAAGTGGGTATTGATGGTTGGAAATTACGAGCAGACTTCCTGGCTTGTTGCTGTTGCAGAGGGTTCGCTTGGATAGAGGCAGTGGTATCATTATGAGCAGCCGAATCCAATACTGTCGTGTGGTGTGGTGACGGCGTCGTTGGAGTAGATGCCGCAATTGTTGATAAGTAACAAATTAATATGTACACTATTATACCTCTCATGTTAGTCATCATTTGGCTTCTTGCATCTGCCTGAAAATAAAGAAAAGTAATAATTAAAATTAAAAGACAGTTTGCGTAATAGGTGTGGAGTATAACAAAGTGTCTTGTGTTTCCACCTGTACATTTTCCAAAGTTCAACATGCAGAAGCCCAAAAGAGAGTGAGAAATTTAATTCTGTCATTCTATATCAACATACTGAATTAGCATAGCAGGGGGACCAGGCAAGCAAGCAAACAAATTGCAGCACTTATTCAATATTGGAAAGAAAAACTAATGTGAAAGGAAGTAGGCCTGGTGTTTAAAATCTTAGCCCTTTTTAAGAAACTTTTGCTTCTTGATACCCCTTTGTTATTGGCTCTGCTAAGCTTGTGGGTTTGTTTACATGCAAAAATGGAGACTACACACTAACAACACACGCATGCACACACACACTTGTCCATGCTTATAATACAGCCTGTACATACTCGTGTCTCTATGCTGGAAAAACATCTCTATCCATGTCTATTATACTACCATTATAGAACCCTCTATGCATATTTACAGATATAAGCCTCGACCCTTGAGCACTGTTGTGCCTATAAAATGCCCACTATCATAGACCATTATAATTGCTATATAGATGCGTCCACCCTGCACCACTGTAATGACTAGAAACAAATCTACACACTATAGGGTCCTCAGTCCTAGACAATTACAATGTCCACATACGAGCCTTGACCACAGCCATCGTAACGTCTGGATACAGGCCTCAATTCTAGACCATTATAATGCCTGTGTAGGCGACTCAACTACTAAGAATTTTAAACGCAGTATAGAATACTCTAATATAGGCCATTTTAATGGTGATAAAGATGGCTGTCTTCTGAGTTGTTGCGCCGTGTAGTCTGGTAGAAGTTTACCAACGTTTCAGAGTTGTTTGTGCTTTTATCATCAGAGCGTTAACTCATCACGCAGATGATGGAGACAGCAAGGACATCTGAAACGTCGATAAACTTCAACCACACTACACAGCGCAACGACCCAGAAGACAGCCATCTTGAGATTCACTGCCATGAGAACCTAAAAGGGTCCTCAAACCTGGACCATCATAATTATAATGTAGGGGTTCCGACAATACCTTAACAGAGGCGTTAACCATGTACCATCCATAAAAGTAGGGGCCTCCAACATAGACTATCATAACGACTACATACAGGCCTCGAACCTAGACCATAATATTGGCTATAGGGAGCCCTTGGCCATACTTCATCTTGATGGCAAAAGAAACCTTGACCCCCAGAGGATTATAATGCTTGTACAGAGGCACCAATCAAAGACCACCATAATGACTACAAACTGCTTCCGTCCTAGGCCAATATAATGGCTATTAGATCCCAATGCCTAAATAAGTATAATGTATCATTGCCTCGAACCTATGGGATCCCAACACACACCAAGGCATCGGCTATATATTGGCTCCTGTTCAGTATAACGTTAATTGCTACAGAGGGGTCAATTTGAAAGAAAAACATAGCGGCCCTTTAGGGACCTCCTTCCAGTTTCATTATAACAGTTGTATAGGAGTTGAAGTCACAGGCCAGTAAAACGGCCATGAAATGGCCACGGTTTCAAACACTGCATTAATCTACTATGTGGAAAAGGCGTGGATCAACACAGAACCAAACAACACAAAGAACACAAAATCAATAAATAAATATATTAGCATAACTAAGAATAAATTCAAAAGAGTCAATAAAAATAACAAACAAAATATACGCTGTATGACGCAAATGGGCCACAATTTTATAACGGAGAAGAACGTACCGCAGCGGACGTCCCCACCGGCGGACCACCCGCAAACGCCAGAGCCAAATGAAATTTTTATGGAAAAATTTTAAGTTTCGTCAAAATTTTCGGAAAATCAAGAAGTGTAGGAAAGTGACTAAAATGCGAACCAAAAATAGATTTTTTTAAAAAATTCCGACTCTAATAATTTTTTCGAAAATTTTGAATATTTTTAGTGCTTTTCGCGTTTCATGACATTAATAGCTATTTCTAATTTTTTAGAAACTTTCTGCCAGACGCGGTCCCTACAATACACGGTCTACACCACATACGGTCTTTGCGAGACGGTCTCTCCCTCATCCGTTCAGGGCAGGACTCGGTTTCTGCCTCTTCCGGTATCTCACACTCACGGTCTCTGCCACACTCTGATTTCCTTCACCCGTTATCTGCCTGACTCCGTCTCTGCCTCACACGGTTCCTGCTTGTCCCGGTCTGTACCTCACAGCATCTTCATGAATTGATCTGTGCTTCACCCGGGCTCTGCTTGACTCGGTCAGTGCCTTGACCGATCTCTATCGAACAAGGTATTTGCAGAGATCCGGTCACAGAGAGAACAATTCGTGCAGAGACTGGGTCCGTCACAGACACCATTTCGGGTGGGAAAATTTTTTAGTTTCGTCAAAGTTTTCGGAAATTCAAGAAGTGTGGAAAGTGGCCAAAATGCGCACAAAACTAAGATTTTTGAAAAATTCTGACTTCAATAATTTTTTAGAAAATGTTTGGTTCTTTTCGCGTTTCATGACATTTATAGAGAATTTCTATTTTTCAAAATATCGGAAGGGGTACCATAGACAAAAGTTTTGAAATTTTTCAAAATTTTCGGATATTCGAAAAATGCAGGAAAATGTCCGAAACGCGCAAAAAACTAAAAAAATTTGAAAAATTTCGACTTCAAATTTTTTACGAATCTTCCGAAATCTTTTCGTTTTTTGCGTTTTTCTTATAATTTGCACCAATTTTAGATTTTTCGAAATTTTAC